TTGGTTGACTATGAGCCTGGGAACTAGATGTTTAAAATGTTTGTGGTCCTGGTCATCCTAATCTGCAGCCACAGCCACAATCCACAGCAGCGTGGGCTCTAAGCTCCCTTCGGGGGTGAGAATTCTCTACATCTGTGCTACAACAGGTGACTCCCTGTCCTGCTGTGCCCTGGCCTGTCCTCGGTCCAGGAAGCCCTCACTCAGTCACACTACACATCATTTCCACTGACATTAGTACAGAAAGACAGAAAAGGAGTGCTCAGACTGAGACGTGAACTCACTGTGGGTTTGGAGAGTCTGTGAGGCTGCTCAGTAAGCCAGCTGGTGTCTCCCACACTGGCCTCCGTATACCTGCCGGCCCTTTACATATATGTAATACCCATCACACTGGATTCTCAAAGGCCATAGAATATCCCCATCTTTTCTGTTCTTCAGGCTGACACCCTGGAAATGCCTTCTGACTCAGGAATCAAAATTGAGGGACTCCAGGGGTCTTTTTTTTTTCTTTTTTTCAGAGCTGAGGACCGAACCCAGGGCCTTGCGCTTGCTAGGCAAGCGTTCTACCACTGAGCTAAATCCCCAACCCCCTGACTCAGGATCAAGCGAAAATGAAATGCACACATCTGTAAACACATCCATCGGCTCAGGTGTCTCTTTAATCTCTACCTATCAATTCTTCAAAATGTATCCCACAACTCTGGCACCAGGTCACCTTCTCTCCATTTTCAGCATGTACTCTAAAAATCAAAATGCACCCGTGTGAACTGTGCCCTTTATTATCTATGGTCAAGACTTTCAGACTTTAGACATATCAAGATGGCCTCCTGGGTTGTATATCAGTCCACTCCCTGCTGTGATAACAAAATTCCTAACACTGCTGGGTGGTTGGGTGGTCAGTCAGTTGGTTGGTCAGTTAGTTGGTTGGTTTTATAGTAGCAATACCAGTCAGTTGAGTTGTTGTTGTTGTTGTTGTTGTTGTTGTTGTTGTTGTTGTTGTTGTTTTTTAACAGACTCAGCCAGAGTAGACTATGGGTTTCTTGAGTTATATGATAAAGGAAATCTGTGCAGTTCAGTTTTAAATGCCCACAGTGGGAACTTGATGGGAGAAGAAGATAAATGCGCTGAAAAAAGGAAGTCTCTGAGACATTGGTGAGATTTCTCTCATCTACCACATGCCGCTTCCTTCTCCATCCGTCCTTTGCACTGTTATGTATCTGCCATCCCTGTGCCTCCCTTACTTGCTCAGGGTCACTGTCCATCTGCCAGGGTAGTCACCTTACCCACATGCTAAGCTCTTGCCCTCTTAGTCAAGGGAGCTAAGCACTCAGGATGAACTAAATTTGACAACAGATTTTAAACCATGGAAGCTCAGGTGAGTTTTTACATCAGGACCATCTTTGTTCCAAACACTGAAGCAAACACACTTTGGTCCAAGGAGCAATCGAGCTCAGTAGTAGAGGAATCCCATGTGGTTTGTTTTTTCTTCCTCACATCTGGGAAGAATTCTCTGAATACTTTTTCTTCCCTGGATAGTTGTGTGTGAATGTAGCTCTGACCAAGATTTCTCTTCGTTCTTGAGTTTGTTTGCCACTCGCAGAAACCCTCCAGTGTGTCTGTGTTTTGTCATTACTTACCTAAATGAACAGAGGTTGTGGGCAGCATAAACTAAGCTTAGGTTGGTGCAGGGCCCAACCCAGATGATTCCTCCACTATTTTCTATCACAGTAACCAGCCTCCCTCTTATTGGCCTCAACCCACGGTCCTTTCTCCTCCTCTCCAACCTCTCTGGTTTCCCTTTCTCCCTCCTCAACAACAGGCTGCCCACCCAGTCAGGGCTGACGATGTGGCATTAGAGCAGAGTACTCAACTATCATGTATAAGGCCTTGCTCTGTGTTAACCCGTTGGGTATCCAATATACTACCCAATCTTACAACCTCACCTTCCATGATGTTTTTATGATTCTCACCAATGATCTTCTCCCAGAGGAGTGTACATGAGTCTGGAATCAGGCTAGGGCCCATGCAGATGAAATCCACCAAACTGATGACTCCCACCCAGTTGAGGTTAGGGCAGTCCCAGACCAGGACTCTGAATGGGATTACAATACCCATCAGGGGACATCCTAGGTAAGAATTGATTTTTAACTTGCCTCCTTGCTGGTATCTGCAAGGCCACTCATAAGGTATTAAATTATATAAAAGTCCAAGGGGTTATCCAAGAAAGGCAAGAAAACCTGCCTCAATTCCTAGACTACCTCACAAAGACCCTCTTACAATATACCAATCTGGATCCTGAGACCATCTCAGACACCTGCACTCAGGCCCGTGGTCTAATCATCCTCTATGCAGACCTGCTGGGTAAAGCCACTGGGAAACCTGAAAATGGGCTCCCACACTACCCTCTCAAGTAGATGCCCAGGCATGGGACACCCAGAACACCTCTATAGCCAAACATCACCCCCCTCTCATCATTTGACTACAAAACCCCACCAAATATATAACCCAGGCTCAATACCCACTCTCTCCAAAGCCTCGGGGGATTTATGCCTCTTATCTTTGACCTCTAAGAGTCTTCTGCTCCCCACTTCTTCCCCCACCCCTTAATATCCCCATATTCACAGTTTTTAAAAAAAAAATGGAGCCTACCACTTGGTTCAGGACCTCCAACTTATCAACTCTGCAGTAGTTCCTCTTCACCCCATAGTACCCAATCCCTATACTCTAAGCTGCAACAGACCATCCTCCAGGTATCCTACATCTTCTGGGCTCAACTCACCCCTTCTCTCTCCATGTTACAGTAAAGTAGGAAAATGTCCTCAGGGTCCTGGATCATCATCTGGGACCTTCCTTTGTTCCCATCACATTCTTATCCCCCCCCAAAAAAAAAAAATGAACCATACGATGCTGTGGATATCACTCTATATAAATAAAACACTGATGGCCAGTGACCAGGCAGGAAGTATAGGCGGGACAAAGAGAGAGGAGAATTGGGGAAACAGGAAGAAGGAGGAGAGACACTGCAGCCACCGCCAGGAGAGGCAACCCGTAAAGACGCCGGTAAGCCACCAGCCACGTGGCAAGGTATAGATTTATAAAAA